ATCTACTGTCACTCTATGTATATGTTCTGTCACTCTTTGTACACTGCTGTCACTCAATGTATATTTTACTCTCTATATATATCTACTGTCACTCTATGTATATGTTCTGTCACTCTTTGTACACTGCTGTCACTCAATGTATATTTTACTCTCTATATATATCTACTGTCACTCTATGTATATTGGCCCGCAATGTCCTGCAGGCCCGTGATCCGTGCACAGTTTGCTAGACTGCATTACCTGATACTTGTGTCAGCCAGTACTGTATGTCAGTACTTGTGTTCTCCACATCAGTATGATATTTGTATTTCCTTGTCTCAGAACCTAGTGACTCCATTGGGTAGAGGCCAGTCAAATATGAAGTGATCCAGGCCGACATGACGTCGGACTTCCCCGCTGAACTCCCTCAGTGTACTTATATAGTCAGATATGCTTTCCAATAAACCTAGTTTGATGCATTGTCAGTCCGCAGGTATGCTGTAGTTGAACAATGCGTGGTTTGTTCTGGTAAGAGCGGGTCCAGCCATGGAACGAACATGCATGGAAGCTATCACTATTACTCTAGTGTTGATACTTGTATCTCATTTCCGTTGCAAGAGACCATTAGTATCCGCACGTGGTGTAGGTGTCAGCACTCGGTCGTCATTGTGAAGCAAACACCTTCCTAGTCTGAGTCGGCCTGCCGTAGGGGAAAAGGGAACTGGCCGATAACATTTTGATAACAAATGAGTTTATTTATCCACGGGCCTGTGTGGGTTTGGTTCCATGTACAACAATAGCTGCTCACATCGGTAACCAGTTACACTGGAAGATGATGCTCAATGTGTTTCCTATCACACTATGTCAAGTCAGATATCTACCACCTTGCTAGATATCAGCTTAGCGATCAGGGCAGTATAACGTCAGATACCTACCACCATGCTAGAGATCAGCTTTGCGGTCAGGGCAGTATAACGTCAGCTATCTACCACCATGCTAGAGATCAGCTTTACGGTTAGGGCAGTATACCGTCAGATATCTACCACCATGCTAGAGATCAGCTTTATGGCCAGGACAGCCTACCATCAGATATCTACCACCATGCTAGAGATCAGCTTTACGGTCAGGGCAGTATAACGTCAGCTATCTACCACCATGCTAGAGTTCAGCTTTACGGTTAGGGCAGTATACCGTCAGATATCTACCACCATGCTAGAGATCAGCTTTATGGCCAGGACAGCCTACCATCAGATATCTACCACCATGCTAGAGATCAGCTTTACGGTTAGGGCAGTATACCGTCAGATATCTACCACCATGCTAGAGATCAGCTTTACGGTCTCGCCAGTATAACGTCAGATATCTACCACCATGCTAGAGATCAGCTTTACGGTCAGGGCAGTATATCGTCAGATACCTACCACCATGCTAGAGATCAGCTTTACGGTTAGGGCAGTATACCGTCAGATATCTACCACCATGCTAGAGATCAGCTTTATGGTCAGGGCAGTATACCATCAGATATCTACCACCATGCTAGAGATCAGCTTTATGGTCAGGGCAGTATACCGTCAGATTTCTACCACCTTGTTAAAGGGGGCAAGGGTGGCCCAGTCGTCTAAGGCGCCGCGATTCGCTGTGCAGAGTTGCGTCCCTTGGGCACGCCAGAAACCTATGATAGTGGGTTCGAATCCCGGTTCGCCCCGATTATGTTTCTAGCTTTGTCAGCGCCATACCCGTGCTCGTGGGTTTCATCGAAGTGGTAAACGTCTGAGACCTGCATCACTTCGGGCTTTCCTCCCACATTAAGCTGACACGCCGTGATATAAATGGAATACTGTTAAAAGCGGCGTTAAACCGAACTCACTCACTCACCTTGTTAAAGATCAGCTTTACGGTCAGGACAGTATCCCGTCAGATATCTACACTCAAAAACAGATTCTGCTTGTCGAGTCCTTTTCTAATGATATCGACTCGACAAATGCAGCATACTTCATTTGAAATGTGGCAAGGTAGAAGAGGGAGGATCAGTCAGTTTACTTGGGGGAGGAGTTATTGACCATCTCGTGGAAGGTCAGGCATATACGTACTTAGGGATGCAGAATAGGGACTTAATCCAGAGGGCCCATATCAAGGACAAAATTTGGGCAGAGTACAAATGTAGACTTAAGAAAATCTGAACTTCGGAGCTGAACGCTCGCAATAAAGTCAAAGCCACAAATACTTATGCTGTACCCGTCCTTTCGTATTCTTTTGGTGCTGTTGATTGGACGAAACAAGAAATGCGGGGTATTGACACCCTCACACGAAGAATCATGGCAGACAATAGATCCCACCACCCTCGCTCTTCACTCAATCGCTTATATTCACCTATTATAATGGGAGGGCGTGGATAGATGAATGTCGGGGCTCTTCATGAAAGAAAGTATTGTGCACTTTTGCACACATTTATTTGTCTGATTATCCTCTTGTGAAGCATGTCAAGACTGATGAAAACAAGGCATTCCGCAGTTTTCTAAAACGAGCCAAAGATGTGGGACATAATGTCAATGTCGGTGTTGATATTGTTGATGGTTCTGTACTGCTTGACGGTACAGAAATGAATGTTAACCAAGCGAAGTGCCATATCAAGTCGGCCCAGACTCAGTTTTTAAAAGAGGCGCTATCTGAACGACCACTGCATCGAGTTTATGTACAGTGTGTTGAGAAGATAAGCAATCCTGCAGAGTCCTTCGCTTGGATGAAGTCGTCTGGCCTGAAAAGTGAAACAGAAGGCTTTCTGTTTGCTGCTCAGGACCAGTCACTTCCCACTCGAAACCGTCAATGTGTGATTTTGCATCAAAATGTAAATATGAAATGTAGATTATGTAAGGAATTTAATGAGACTGTCCAAAACATTGTCAGTGGATGCCCAGCTTTGGCACAAACACAGTATCTTAAACGACACGGTGGTGTAGCTCGATCATTTTATTACCGTCTTCGCCATGCTTGTGGTTTTGACACAGAAGTCCACCCATGGTACGACCAGGAATAGGAATATGTAGAGGGCTTCATGGAAAATGATAATACAAAATTCTTTGGAATAGGCCCATTTACAGCCTCAGACGTATCCAGGCCAACAAACCTGATCTTGTCCTTTTTTATAAATCCAACGAAATCATTTATATCATTGAACACTAATGTGATTGACAAGATTGAGGAAAAACATGGCAAATATGCGGACCTCGCTTTTGAAATGTCACGCTTGTATCCCATGTACCAAGTTGTCCGACTCCCTATTGTTCTCGGTGCCTTAGGTTTGGTACCTCCTAATCTGTTGACTGACATTGGGAGAGTACCCGGATTTGCTACCAGGAACACAGCCCTTCTGACAATCTGGGTAATGCAAAAGGCTGCAGCGTTGGGGGGTCTTCACATTCTCCGAAAAGTTCTGGGTGGGTTTGACTAGGCAGCGCTTCCTGGGAGAAGTCACATTCGCTGTCTGGGCTGCGTAGAGATGATGATAATGAGCCTAACCAGCCTGACTGTACCAGGATTGCCCAAACCCTCTTTGCTGCCTTTTTAAAATTTTAATTTGTAAGTAATAATAATAATAATAATAATAATAATAATAATAATAATAATAAGAACAATAACAACAGCAACAATAATACACCAAATCCATACCATAACACATTCTGAACTCCATTGGGAGTATACAACCAATCTGCCTGTGAGCAACTGGAAGGTTTACAGTGACATTACCATCTCATCAATGCTGGGTGAATGGATGCATATTTCGAACGAATTCACTTTCCTTAGCAGACACTACATGTGCCACATGTCTGGGGCAGGATAGAAGCCCTAGAAACGCTCGGTAGTCAAGCTGCCGAACGCGGTCTGAACCAGTCCTGAGGAGTGTGGGTACTCGTGATATAGATATTGTTAAAGTAACAATGTAGCCAGTCCGCTTGACATCTGGTGATGGAGAGTACATCAGTGTGGTTAAGTCGACAGATACTTCTTCCTCTGTCACAATCAATGGGAGCCGACTGAGGGAAGTCGGGGTTAAGCCGGTGGTAATCCCCGGCCCCTGCCACCCACTGCCTCTGAGTATAAGTCCTGAGTACCGGGAGACACGCACTTGCTCACAGTAGATTTGCTTCAGTTGAGGTTATGACGACGTCTGGTCATGTCATTGCATACCGCTTCGGACCGTATGTCATGGTGTTTTGGTATTTTTGTTTGTATAGACACTGTGTACATGGCTCTATACTTTGTTACCCAAGTCACTAAGTTCACACAGTAGTCCATGAAGGAACACATGAAGAAACCTTACACAACATGATTCCAATGATTTTTGTAAAACGGCACCACCATTACCATACGTCAAGTAAGTGTGCAGTTATAACTACCTTTCCCTGTCCCACCTAGTTCTGAAGCGGGGATGGGATTTTATTTATTTAGTAATACTTTGATGGAAGAGATGTGACGACCGTGACACTAGGATAAGGTAACTAAACTATTTTCCCCATGAAGACATCATTGACTTTAGATTGTATCTTTCAATGGTGGTACATATCCCAAATAACACGTAGAGATGGCGTATTTGTTGTAGTAACAAACTTCCGTTATGACATTGCAAATATTAAATAGTTTGACGTAGTGTCATGACATGCCTCGTGTTACGCAGGTAAACGTATTGTGGCCCTATCTTTTTGTTATTGCCTTCGACAGTCCAAGGGCATCTCGGTATGTCTCAGCTAACCTTGGGTCATTCTGTTGGTATTGGTGATTTGGCTATAGGTTTCTGTTGGTCATAAACAACATACTTAACTACATATCATGTTGGTTTCTCATTCTCTACTCATGTTACAACATAGATAGTTTGATGTTATACAGTTTATTACTTTTTCGTGTAGATTGTCATATACATTTCGGGTAATCTTTATCAAGTATATCCCTGTTGGGTGATGGGGTTGATTCTCTTCCAGATGTGTGGTTGTCTTCATCCCATAATAGGCTTTTCTTTGTCTTTACAGTTCAAGTACTGGTTTGAGAACCTGACGTCCCTGAATACATCCCTGCTGTATAACCCTTTACTAAGCATTCCGACCCAGGGCTGGATACCACACGGGCAGACAGGTACGTGGACAATAGGATTTTCTGTACACGTACTTCTGGACACGCATACATCTTACACACTAGTATATAAACATGCGTGTTAGCAATATTATAAGGGTAACGCTAAATTTCGGGTCATTAACATTCGTAGAAGCCCGAGGTCTGCCATTACCTACCCGACAGAGGTCGGTTTAATAGACCGAGGGCTTCTGAGAATGATAATGATCCGAAATATAGCGTTATCTCTATCATAGTTAGAATGGAGAGAATCTGTCCTTAGTAAGCTACGCGACGACGACATCTGGAAACCAACCCAATAACGACGGGCAACAGCATGGTACACGTATGGCTCTGACGAAAATACAACACATGTCAGTGTGGCACTGGCCTAGAAACACGTCATCAACAATAGTTTACGTCACAATAGGTCGCGTGACATCATTGGACCCTGGCCTTTAATTCCGCCGACATAGGAGTGTGGTCATTTTGTGATCTAATTGAGCCTCAATGTTTGGAGATTTACTACACATCGACATTGTAAGTGATGTTGCAAAGATTGACAGTGAAATGATTGCTGCTGCCACCTGCACAAAAGATTAGAATATGAGACTACTGCCAAAACGTTACACTCTCCTGTAGTGTTCGATTTAACATCCATGTGCAATCTATCCAATCTGTCGAATGTTTCTCACCTGAATCATAGCTTCTTTCGCACCATATATAATCTGGGACTCGTGAGACGTCCGCTCGATCATGCGATTCACCAGAGAAATACCGATCCACATATGCATGAAGTTGGCCAGCGATTCTTCATCGCGGGCATAGTCGTTGGTGATGCGACGAGCCGCACAATCCGTCAGCTCCCGTCGATGATCTTGGCCGGTCTTGTCTGTCTTAACATGTCGGTCCAGTTTGAAGGCAAAGGAACTTCATAACATGGTGCAACGTCATTGATCCACGTACATAGAGTTACATTAGCTACGTGTTTGGGTGTTAATTGACATCTACAGGTTTACAGCTCATACTGTGGAAGGATGGAGAACGTAGTTGCCTAGAGTTTGGTGAAAAGGAAGAGAATGTAGATACCTGGAGACCAGTGTAAGGGCAGAGACCGTTGGTGCCAAAAATCGGGTTAAAGGGCAGTGAAAGTAGGTCCCAAGAGTCAGGTAAAAGGGCAGAGAAAGTAGGTGCCTGGACTCAGGTAAAAGGGCAGAGAAAGTAGGTCCCAAGTGTCAGGTAAAAGGGCAGAGAAAGTAGGTGCCTGGAGTCAGGTAAAAGGGCAGAGAAAGTAGGTGCCTGGAGTCAGGTAAAAGGGCAGAGAAAGTAGGTGCCTGGAGTCAGGTAAAAGGGCAGAGAAAGTAGGTCCCAAGTGTCAGGTAAAAGGGCAGAGAAAGTAGGTGCCTGGAGTCAGGTAAAAGGGCAGAGAAAGTAGGTGCCTGGAGTCAGGTAAAAGGGCAGAGAAAGTAGGTGCCTGGAGTCAGGTAAAAGGGCAGAGAAAGTAGGTCCCAAGAGTCAGGTAAAAGAGCCGAGAAAGTAGGTGCCTGGAGTCAGATGGCAGAGAAAGTAGGTGCCTGGAGTCAGGTAAAAGGGCAGAGAAAGTAGGTGCCTGGAGTCAGGTAAAAGGGCAGAGAAAGTAGGTGCCTGGAGTCAGGTAAAAGGGCAGAGAAAGTAGGTGCCTGGAGTCAGGTAAAAGAGCAATTAACGTAAATGTCTAGAGACGGCGAAAAGGGCAGAGAATGTGGACGAGGTGAACGAGGGCAGAGAACGTAGGGGCCTGAAGGCAGGTGATAGGGCACATAATGCACGTGCCTGGAGCCTGGTGTAAGGGCAGTTAACGTCGGTGCCTGGAGTCGGGTAAAAAGGCAGATAACTTTGGTGCCAGGAGTCGGGTAAAAGGGCAGAGAAAGTATGTGCCTGGAGTCGGGAAAGAGGCAGATAACGTCGGTGACAAGAGTCGGGTAAAAGGGCAGAGAAAGTATGTGCCTGGAGTCGGGAAAGAGGCAGATAACGTCGGTGACAAGAGTCGGATAAAAGGGCAGAGAACGTAGGTGCCTAGAGTCGGGTTAAGGAGGGCAGAGAACATAGATGCCTAGAGGCGGGGAACAGGGCAGAGAACGTAAGTGCCTAGACTCGATTGAAATAGGACAGATATTGAGTCGGGTAAAAGGGCTGAGAAGGTAGTTGCCTAAAGTCGTGTGATTGAGGGCAGAACAAGGCGGAGGATAGTGTATATGTGATTGAGGGAAGAATAAGGTGGTGGTCAGAGTTTCGTAAATAAGGGCAGAATAAGGCGATGGATAGAGTGTTGTGATTAAGTGCAGAAGAAGTCAGTGGATAGAGTGTATGCGATTGAGGGCAGAACAAGGCGGTGAACAGAGTGGTTTGATTGAGGGCAGAACAAGGCGGAGGATAGAGTGGTTTGATTGAGGGCAGAACAAGGCGGAGGATAGAGTAATGTGATTGAGGGCAGAACATGGCGATGGATAGAGTGGTGTAAATGAGGGCAGAACAAGGCGGTGGAGAGAGTGGTGTAAATAAGGGCTGAACAAGGCGGATTAAAGAGTGGTGTAAATGAGGGCAGAACAAGGCGGTGGAAAGAGTGGTTTAACTGAGGGCAGAACAAGGCGGTGGATAGAGTGTATGTGATTAAGGGCAGAACAAGGCGGTGGATAGAGTGGTGTGATTGAAGGCAGAACAAGGCGGTGGATGGAGTGGTGTGATTGAGGGCAGAAGAAGGCGGAGGATAGAGTAATGTGATTGACGGCAGAACATGGCGATGGATAGAGTGGTGTGATTGAAGGCAGAACAAGGCGGTGGATGGAGTGGTGTGATTGAGGGCAGAACAAGGCGGAGGATGGAGTAATGTGATTGAAGGCAGAACAAGGCGGTGGATAGAGTGGTGTAAATGAGGGAAGAACAAGGCGGTGGATAGGATGTATGTGATTAAGGGCAGAACAAGGCGGTGGATAGAGTGGTGTAAATAAGGGCAGAACAAGGCGGAGGATAGAGTAATGTGATTGAGGGCAGAACATGGCGATGGAAAGAGTGGTGTAAATGAGGGCAGAACAAGGCGGTGGAAAGAGTGGTGTAAATGAGGGCAGAACAAGGCGGTGGAGAGAGTGGTGTAAATAAGGGCAGAACAAGGCGGTGGAAAGAGTGGTGTAAATGAGGGCAGAACAAGGCGGTGGAAAGAGTGGTGTAAATGAGGGCAGAACAAGGCGGTGGAAAGAGTGGTGTAAATGAGGGCAGAACAAGGCGGTGGAGAGAGTGGTGTAAATAAGGGCAGAACAAGGCGGATTAAAGAGTGGTGTAAATGAGGGCAGAACAAGGCGGTGGAAAGAGTGGTGTAACTGAGGGCAGAACAAGGCGGTGGATAGAGTGTATGTGATTAAGGGCAGAACAAGGCGGTGGATAGAGTGGTGTGATTAACAGCAGAACAAGGCAGTGGATAGAGTGGTGTGATTGACGGCAGAACAAGGCGGAGGATAGAGTAAAGTGATTGAGGGCAGAACAAGGCGGAGGATAGAGTAAAGTGATTGAGGGCAGAACAAGGCGGTGTATAGAGTGTATGTGATTAAGAGCAGAACAAGGCGGTGGATAGAGTGTATGTGATTAAGAGCAGAACAAGGCGGTGGATAGAGTGTATGTGATTAAGAGCAGAACAAGGCGGTGGATAGAGTGTATGTGATTAAGAGCAGAACAAGGCGGTGGATAGAGTGGTGTAAATGAGGGCAGAACAAGGCGGAGGATAGAGTGTATGTGATTAAGAGCAGAACAAGGCGGTGGATAGAGTGGTGTAAATGAGGGCAGAACAAGGCAGTGGATAGAGTGATGTAAATGAGGGCAGAACAAGGCAGTGGATAGGATGTATGTGATTAAGGGCACAACAATGCAGTGGAAAGAGTGTTGTAAATGAGGGCAGAACAAGGCGGCGGATAGAGTGGTGTAAATAAGGGCAGAACAAGGCGGAGGATAGGATGTATGTGATTGAGGGCAGAACAAGGCAGTGGAAAAAGAGTGTTGTAAATGAGGGCAGAAGAAGGCGGTGGATAGAGTGTATGTGATTAAGGGCAGAAGAAGGCGGTGGATAGAGTGGTGTAAATGAGGGCAGAACAAGGCGGTGTATAGAGTGTATGTGATTAAGAGCAGAACAAGGCGGTGGATAGAGTGGTGTAAATGAGGGCAGAACAAGGCGGTGTATAGAGTGTATGTGATTAAGAGCAGAACAAGGCGGTGGATAGAGTGGTGTGATTGAGGGCAGAACAAGGCGGATGATAGAGTGGTGTAAATGAGGGCAGAACAAGGCGGTGTATAGAGTGTATGTGATTAAGAGCAGAACAAGGCGGTGGATAGAGTGGGGTGGTTGAAGGCAGAACAAGGCGGTGGATAGAGTGTATGTGATTAAGAGCAGAACAAGGCGGAGGATAGAGTGGTGTGATTGAGGGCAGAACAAGGCGGTAGATAGAGTGGTGTAAATGGGGGCAGAACAAGGCAGTGGAAAGAGCGGTGTAAATGAGGGCAGAACAAGGCAGTGGATAGAGTGGTGTAAATGAGGGCAGAACAAGGCGGTGGATAGAGGGGTGTGGTTGAAGGCAGAACAAGGCGGTGGATAGAGTGGTGTAAATGAGGGCAGGACAAGGCGGTGTATAGAGTGTATGTGATTAAGGTCAGAACAAGGCGGTGGATAGAGTGGTGTAAATGAGGGCAGAAGAAGGCGGTGGATACAGTGTATGTGATTAAGGGCAGAACAAGGCGGTTGATAGAGTGGTGTAAATGAGGGCAGATCAAGGCGGTGGACTGGATGTATGTAATTAAGGGCAGAACAAGGCGGTGGATAGAGTGTTGTAAATAAGGGCAGAACAAGGCAGTGGAAAGAGTGTTGTAAATAAGGGCAGATCAAGGCGGTGGAAAGAGTGGTGTGATAAAGGGCAGAACAAGGCGGTGGATAGAGTGTTGTAAATAAGGGCAGATTAAGGCGGTGGATAGAGTGGTCTGATTGAGGGCAGAACAAGGCGGTGGAA